GTGGAGGAGCAGGAGGTGGATCCTTTCTCATCTCCGCTCGACCACCGCGGATGGACTTGTCATGACGCTGCGACAACGACACCACATGTGCCCGCTCGTACTCCAGAGCTACCTTGATCGCACTCGTCAACGTCTTGCACTGCCGGTACTTCACTTCCTCCCGGGTTTTGAGCTTTAAACCACGGATAAAAAACGTCACTTTGTCCAACTCTGACATCTCTTGAATGTCTGTGCACACTCTGCGGAACTTCTCCACGTACTCGAATAAGTCCCTGCAAGAGCGCTGCTGAAGTGTGAACAAGCGATCCCGCAAGCGCTCTTGGAGATCATCAGGCTCGAATTCCTCACGCAGTGCTTGTTCGAAGTCGACAAGAGTCCTGAAGCCACCATTGACTCGCCGTGAAGCCAATTCCTGGTACCAAGCCGCAGCCTGTCCTTGGAGGTTCGCCACAACCATCGCAAGACAGCGCGCTTCGACCACTTCGTTTTGCTCGTAGTTCAAGTTCTTTGCCATGAAAAAGGTCTTCACCCGGTGAATGTACAGCCCAATGCTTTCATTAAGGTGCCCATGGTATGCAGGCATAGACAGTCCTTCTACTCGTCGTTCCGTGTCCCGTTGCTGTTCGACCGGTTGTTGGCTCGCTAGTTGGTTCATTGCATCCTGCAACTGTTGATGTAAAATCAACTGCTGCTCTTGATGCGCTTGCTGGTCCCTCATCATCTGTGTGTGCGTCTGTGCTTGAGCTTCTAGCAGCTGATTGATCATCTTCTGCTGCTGCTCCACTCGCAACCGCCTTCTTGAACTTCTTTTCTGCCGTCGCCTTCTTTTTGCCCATAAAATGGGGGTCCGATGACAATAAACTTCACACGCAACAATTGTCTTTATTAGCTGTCGACTCAACCTCTACCGACCCTAATGCCGGATACTAAGGAGAGTACCGTCGTAATAAGAAAGGGCCTGAGCGATCACTAACTCAACACTAGCCGCCGTGAAAGGTCGCAACTGAACCTTCGCCTGAGCTAGATAGAACAACCTAACAACCTACGAGCTATCCCTCTGGAAGTAAGTCCTTGTTGTCTACCGTGAGTGCTACCAACTGTAGGGAGTTGATAACGCAGAGGAATTTGTTAAACTGATTGGTTGGCGTTATCTACATGCATGACTACTGTGACTATACTATATCTAATGCTATACATAAGTGCCCTCTGCAGAAGGAACTTCTGGTGTCCATGGCCGAGCACGCCGCACGCCAATCAAGCTTGGTCGTAAACCGACGTCAACAGTGACGTCTGTTCTCAATAGTCGATAACCCTATGACGCCACTGAAGTGACGTCGCTACAACCTTCCACTCACCGAGAGCGGCGTGGCGGGCCGTTGAGATAGTGGACGGAGAAGTGTTTTAGATGACTCCTTTATCGTCACTGTACTACACTCTCCTCGCAGTCCAAGTGCTCTTCCGACGCTGTACTTCACTGTCTGCTGCGACCAAGTGTAGCAGTGGTTGTCCTACCATGCCTTTGCCTTTGTCCATTGCACCTATATTTACTAAAACAACGTGTTTTGTTTCGCCCAATAACAGAGCCTTCGATTTTAGAGAAAGTGCAAGTTTTCCGCCGAATCTTTTGGAACCATTGCTAATACCTTGCATTTAGTAAGGAATGTATTTAAATTCACAATAAAATTTCAATATTTAATCAACGTCGATTGGTTTTATAAGACACTACAAAGCAGGATTAATTTTCATAAGAATATAAAGCAATGACTTATATAAATTCACAACTACTCGTCGGAAGGCGTAAGTGCATGGAAGCCCCTTTGGGATACCACACCGAACATGTAGCGATACCCGTCCTCACTTACCCACCCCACTGTGCATATCGAATCAGTATCTCCTTCATGCGTTTGAATCCAGGCTGTGGAACCAAGATTACTGTGGGCTTCGTTGACTCATGGATTTCACTTTAGAATACCACAGGCTTGAATATTATCATATCCAATCACACGACATGACCTTCCATATAAGCTATCTAATTGGTGGATAATGAAAATGTTCAGGAATTAGTTGTAGTTCAGAAAATCGATGCACTACCTTATTCCGATTTCATCACAAATTGTCATTTCTATATTTGTATGGTGTATTTCGGTCTCACAGTCAATTTACAGAATAGAGAGCAAAGCTCACCTGCGCTTTAGTTGGTCATCGTTATACTCTAGGTATATGGACTCACCATGCACGATACGGTTGAGAATGACGACTGTTCTATGCAACGGGTTGATGGAAGTAAGGAAAATCGGTCATTCACACCTGAGAACTTGTGTCACTGCTCAGCGAAGGTAGTGCTTTGGTTGGGCTACCGATGCACTCAACGAGTTTAGTGAAGTGTGAGCCACGAGCGCGGTTGAAGGATCCATTTGCTAAGTGATTATTAACTACATGACACCGATGATTGGACAAAATAATCCGTTGATATCATTTTATTGGCTCATTCGTCAAAACTGTATTTTACAGTCGCAACTGTAAATCTGGCCGATTTGCAGGCTCGCGGTAAAATTATACAGTTTCTTGTATTTTACAGTCGTCCGGTGGGGTTGTCAAAACTGTAAATAATCCGGATAGAACTGTAAAACTACCTCCGGTTAGAACTGTAAAACTACCTCCAGACGGAAATAAATCGACCATAACAAATTTGTTGAAGGACGGAAATAAACCAGCCTCAAGAGAGACTCCCATAATATATTAAATATATAGCGAATGGCTTATGAATTTCAGCATTATAAAATAATCATATCATTTTTATTAAAATTGTCGTCCTTCATAATGAAACTCATATAGATTTGTCCTTTCATGAAAAACCTGCACTCCTGTTGCCCTGTCGCCACTGATCACAAGGACCATGTTGACCACAACATGGGTTGCATGCCGCGACATTGCTAGTATGGAGTTCGTGTGATATGATGTCGTAGTGGCTGCCGGCACCACCCCGCCGCCTCTTCTGTGCACGCCTCGGCCTATGCACGTAGGGGCAGAACACGACAGCCTGGCATCTTGTGTCCTAACCCACATCGGCCACAGCGAGCACATTGGTCGAGGGCGTCCCAATCGGTGGCGGCTACATACGGCATTGTTGTGGACGCATGATAGCGGCAGTAATGATTTAGGTTTAGTTGAACCCGATTTCCCACGAGGAGTCATCGAGGAATGCACCGACGACGCCTCTCCGTGGGAGATCGACTTGAGCTCATTGGTTGATGTAGTTGTCGTACTGACAACTTTTGAGGCTTTGATCACTTCCTATTTTATCAATGTCCTGAAGGATTTCATTATATGTCCATAAGGCCACGGGTCTGTGGGCTCGTTCGGTGCGGTTTGAGATTGACATGCTGGGAAATCGCGCGAAGCACGATATCATGCCGCACTAAACTGATGATCAACATTCCAGTAATTCGGATAACTGAACTGTATCCGTACGATTTAATCCTGAGTTGAGTATCGAGGATTTGGTACAACATCCTCAAGTTGAATGTACTCATATTTAACGAAATCAAGCCAATCGGGTGCATTTCTTTCGGCACTTTAATAAGGACGTATTTGCGGTTTTTAAAAATTCTCAAAATTGTTCGAAATACTAGTATACAAATTTTCCCCTTATGGTCCGTTTATTTCCGTCTGGAGCTAGTAGCGTTTACAGTGGGGATGCTCTTAAAACTACCAGGAATATCAACTAACGTTATGATGTCATTTTGACGTTGCCTCGAAGTGCAGAGTACTATGTTGGCGAAGTTCCAGGCTACCCAGTATACTGTATTCCTGGTAACATAAGTTGAAAACCACAAACCGCTGATGATAAGAACCTTTGCCACAGTCAGGTTTCACTTGTAACTCGGGCTATTAAAAGGCTCCTTCTAGAAATTGCCACACCACGTGGTTTGGTAGCCAGCGCCGTTGAACGAATCGCATTGAGCACGGGAATAGCCTCTTGGAAAGCAGTGCGAGAGCAACGCAGAGTAGCATCCCGAGCAACCATTGCACGACACGGACGGGGTCGAGGTCACAGGTTTCGATCCGGAGGGGGTCGGTGTTACAGGTTCCGTTACGGACGGGGACGGTGTCACAGGTTCCGTTACGGCCGGAGATGGTGTTACAGGTTCCGTTACGGACGGGGACGGTTCCACAGGTTTCGTTACGGACGGGGACGGTGTCACAGGTTTCGTTACGGACGGAGACGGTGTCACAGGTTTTGTTCCTGGGGGCGACGGGGGCTTGGCAGCCCCCCCACTATTGAACACGGTTGCTTCCTCAGCGAATGCGTTGATGCCTTTGTACACTTCGGTACCGCGTCTCTTGATGGTCGACGCATCCGTGATAAAATTATAGCCCTCCAATTCAATCGTCAGGGCGGGTTTCTTGAACTCGCGGAACGCGTAATCTACGAACGTTCCATACGCCAAGTACAATGCAGACGCCGGTTGAAGCTTGTAAGCCTGCTTGTATGACCCCATAACGTTTTGCATACCACGGCCAAGCACTTGGAACTTTTCGTCAAACCCGTCGCCGATCGGCTGCTTGGTGTCCCCGCACGGGTACAAGAGGAGCCCCCCATACGCGTGAATGTCCAAGTACCCCTGGATTTCGTCGCGTTTGGTTTCCAGCCATGAATTGATGCCTGCGGTTTCCAGCTCACTGAAGGGCTTCTGCCCGGGGTACGTTTCGTCGCTTTGCGGAGGGTGTTCGGGGTTCTCGAAGGGAGTCGGCCAGTTGCGATTCAAATCGACTTGGTTGGCATTCTTGCGCTGGAACCGGGTGCGGTTCCCGTTCCATGTGCTTTCAAAACCGTCAATGTTGACGATTGGCACAAAGTACAAGTCGTACGCGTCGGCGGCCGTGGGTTTCTCGTTGGCAATATCGTCGAGAATCGACGCGAACGAGAACAGAATCGACGAGCCTGTAATCCATTCGCGGGCGTGGACCTGGGCTTGAAAGTACAGCGACTGGGCGTTACCCTTG